ATACTTTGACAAGTGCCTTATTTTGACTGGATGTGTGTTTGCGTGGATACTTACGACCTAACACGTACCTTCGTTATTATTATTATTATGACGACTTTATTCACTCCCAAAGCAGAAAAAGAAAGCTTGAAAGGAGGTAAATGGTTCTTGAACATGAAGCACAGCACCGGGATCCATATGACCCAAGGGTGAAGCACCAGTCAATGAAGATAAAAGAAAATCCTGAACCAAATTTTGATAAACTTCATGAGAGAAAAATTCAAGTATACCAACTTCGATACTCACATAAAATCACAGTCATGTATAACAGAACTACTCAAGTAGTAAACACCAAGCATGCTGCACATGGGACACTCCAAGCAAGACAAACTCAGACGAGATAAAACGGCATATGCAGAGAAAGACAATACATGACTGGGGGCATATGGCAGAAATTCACGCCTCTCGGCTCGTCACACAGCACATGATGCACCACAATCATAAAACACACAGACTGAGACACATCGAGACATTACCGGCGGGCAGGCTAACATAAGGTCAACCGACCGTTCCGACCATGCCACTCTCCCATCCATGACCAGTCACCGACCGCACAATTCTCAGGGTGCCCAGAATAGCACATTGCTGCAGCCGCTGGATCACGGACGCGTGGAGCCCAAGGCTTAAGATGTGGCTGCGGCTCGTTCCTGACACACCACCCAGAGCACCAATGATAACTGGAACAATAGTTATCTTTTTGTTCCAGATCCTCCTCAGCTCTGCTGCCAAGGGCAGGTATTTGCTGATCTTCTCCTGCACCTTCTCATTGACCCTGTGGTCCAATGGGACACTGACGTCCAAGAGCAGTGCCCGATCATCCAGAACCAGCACCAGGTCTGGTCTGTTCGCTTTTATTACTCGATCTGTGGGAATGGAAATCTCCCACATCAGCTTGCAACTGGCAGAACTTGTGACCTGCACCAGCTGCTTACTGCTGGGTAATCCATGCTGCTTACACAGCGCACGATGCAGGGCCTGGACCACAAAGTTATGCCGGGCAATGTATGCAGTCCGTGCCAGGGCTGGACAGCAGGCGATGATGTGGTCCATATTTTCTCCGGGTGCACCACATACACGACAGAGGTCCACGACATCATGCCTCTTGTGGATATGGCGCATATTGTTTCTCGTGGCAATCACCTGATCCTGGCAAGCAATGAGAAAGCCTTCCGTTTCAGGACGCATTGTCTGGGATCTGAAACAGGAAAACGAGAGCTGTATGTCCAGGATGCCATCAACACGCGCCCAATAGCGACCATGAAGAGGCATCGCTCGAAGTTCACAGCGGCGGTTGTCATTGAGGGCCTGTTTAACAGTCTCTTTGTTAGCGGTGTCCAGGCTCGTCAGGCGAAGGCGCTGCAGGACAGTATTTGCCAGCTTTGGTATTGATTTTCTAGAGGGACGTGATTCATGGTGCTGGAGAACAGCGGCCAGGGCAGGGACATCTTCCCGATCCTTCAGGTACTGAGCGAGCCGGATGCAAGTACGGTCATGGAGATCTACGATGCATACTAGGCCACGACCTCCCTCACTCCGCGGTAGATATAGGCGACGGATTGAGGCACGTGGGTGGTGGGCCCTGCTAGCAGTCAGAGCCTTCCTCACTGTCCTGTCCAGCGAGCGGAGCTCATCCGCAGTCCAAGGAACGACTGTGCCAAGGCCATAGGACACCACTGGCAGAACGTAGGTGTTGATTGCTCTGATGAGGTTTGGTGCACATAGTGAAGCATCCGTGATCAAGCGAAGACGGCGACGGAACTCAGCGATGGCAGATTGTTTAACTTCACCAGCCTCGATTCCCAGGAATTCCCGCAGGCCAAGGTAGAGGTACGCCGCGCCATCTTGCAGAGGATGAATGATCGACTCTGTTATTATTATTATTATTATTATTATTATTATTATTATTATTATTATTATTATTATTATTGTAAAAGAGAAAAGGACATATGGATACGAGTTAAGAGTAACTCTCCATCAATGTAACATGATACTATATACAGTCAGAAAGTGCAATAACTAGGCACAAAACTGACAGAGTACTGAGACATTCGACGTCCTTACTCTTAACTCGTATCCATATGTCCTTTTCTCTTTTACAGTTATTTATGGCTCAACATCCGAGTTTCAAATTATTATTATGGAGTTGGCTTTATTTCACTCACGTTGTCATGACATGAGGTAAGAACCCCATCACCGGGCCAAAAGAGACCAAGGGTAATGAGAGAAAAAAAAAAAAAAAAAAAAAAAAAAAAAAAAAAGATAAATGGCCAACGCAATGAAGACCGAATAATATTATTATTATTATTATTATTATTATTATTATTATTATTATTATTATTATTATTATTAAGGCATTGTAGCTGGTGTCCAGCAGTGTCCGTGATATTGCCGTGCCAGTCGCTACACTTGGCATTGAAATCGCCCATCATAAGCATAGAGGAAGTGGTGTGTCTGGTCGCCTGAAGGACTGTTTGCAGACAGCCCACAAAATTGTCAATATAAGTGGCACGCGCGCTTGGTGGCCTGTAAACGCATCCAGTAGTGAGAGATTCAGAAGGTGCAGGTGATGAGGTCGATGTATGAGATGTTATTTCGACCCATGTGGTCTCAAATTTGGGAAGGTGTAGATCAGTGCGATGCTTACCTGTAGTGGAAAATCTGAGCGGACACCTCCAAACCCCCTAAATCTTTCAGTGCTCTTCTTGTTGTCCGCTGTGGGTCGGTCACGGCGGTAACAGTCGTAGCCTGCAAGGAAACTACAAGGAAGTTAGGCTGAGACAGCCATGTTTCAGTGATGCCAATAACGTCGGGCTTGTACTGCTCGATGAACTCGGAAAGTTCTCCATGCTTATTCCTTTAAATTGATCTAGCGTTCATACATGCAATGTGTGCGGGTCGGCCAGAGGAAGGTCTGAGCGGGATAGAGCGGGTGGGCTAGTTTCGATCGTGGGGTGAATACAGGGGCGTTGGGATTTAGTCGTTGTTGCTGCATCGTTGTGTGTGTTGATTTGTTAGCATGACAGTTCAGGATTGTTGGTTTGTTAGCATGACAGTTCAGGATCATCGTTGAAGGGTGTCAGCGCTGAACCTCCATGGCCGAACCGTGACCTTGGAAGGCCAGAAGTCTGCGGTCGTTACCTTGCTGAAATTAACTTTCTCTTTGCATTCGAGGGTAATACGACACCGTCTACCACCTTGATGACCTAGGCAAAAAGCATAGGAATGTTATAATTTTTTCATTTCTCCAATCTTTAAGACATACCTATAAGATTCAAACCCGCACTATCGCCCTGTATGCATTCCCCCGATACACTTCGCATACATACTCATTCTTCAAAGTTGCTTCACGTTATGATCTTGCATTTGAAAGCCCTATTTGAATATTGTGGTTAGCTGTCTTTGATGGTACGATATGGGACAGGTACGGAATAGCGCCAGGCATGGCGCCGATGGGCGACGGCACAATTCAAACAAACAAACACACACCTTGATGGCATGGTACGGGACAGGTACGGGATAGCGCCAGGCATGCCAATGGCACGAACAAACAAACAAACACGGAATTAAAGCTGTGTGGACCCTGGCTAGCGCCAGACGTTGCTGAAGTAACATCTTTTGCATAGCTACGAGAATTACTGTAAATATACCAATTTTCGGCAGCTATTTAATTTCGGCTATATTCGGCACCGACCCAAAACGCCTAAATTAAAACGCCGATGAAATTTTTCACAGCATCTGTCGCACTATACCATGCCCTCTACCCCATGCCGAAAATAAATCGCCGCCGAATTGTCAAAAATCGTGAAGTGCCGAAATTTTGCAGCGCCGAAATTTTGTATATTTACAGTATTATTATTATTTTGCTTGTTCGCGTTGGCAACAACCTGCAAAAAAGAAGGTATATAGCCCTCGCTTAAGCTTCCGTAAAAAAGGCTCATCCTAAGACTGTCATCACACCATGGTACAAAGCGCTGCGTCTACGTCCACGTAAGGAGTTTTTTGGTCGGTTGTCATGATGATCCGTATACGGGGTGAAAACGGGAGCAGAGGAAACGGGAGACGTATACGTGGTATGGAGAGGGGGGGGGGGGGTATACGATTTTTTGTATGAACGTGCGTATCTCCCCCAGCCTTTTTCTGAGCGACCCTGTACTTCGATGTACGCGGGTTCAAATTTCTCCAAAAACCTGACTGCGTGTACGCGTCAAGAACTGTGCTTGTCTGATGACACGACCATCCGTTTTGGTTTTTTCACCATAGACGTAGACGTAAACGGGAGTCGGAGAACGTGGTGTGATGACGGCCTAAGGCTGTCATCATACCATGCTACAAAGCGCTGCGTCTACGTCCACGTAAGGAGTTTTTGGTCGGTTGTCATGATGATCCGTATACGGGGTGAAAACGGGAGCAGAGGAAACGGGAGACGTGGACGTGGTATGGAGAGGGGGGGGGGGGGTATACGGCTTTTTGTATGAACGTGCGTATGTCCCCCAGCCTTTTTTTCCGAGCTACCCTGTACTTTGATGTACGTGGGTTCAAATTTCTCCAAAACCGGACTGCGTGTACGCGTCAAGAACTGTGCCTGTCTGATGACACGACCACCCGTTTTGGTTTTTTCACCATAGACGTAGACGTAAACGGGAGTTGGAGAACGTGGTGTGATGACGGCCTAAGCGAGAGGGCTAGAGGAAAAGATGACGATGGTAAAAATTATCTTTGATTCTCAAGTACGCGCGCACCGACGATTTTTTAAATTTCTATGCATGCATATGCGCGCAGGAAAACGGTCAATGCGAAAGGCATGAATCAGGGAGTAGTAAAATACCGGTATTTTACTACTCCCCGGCCTGAATTATTATGAACATGTGACGTCATGACCATGTACATAATGTGTGACCCTATCTTAAATAAAATAAAAAATCGCTCGCTCGCACCGATTTTCACAGGCTCATGACCAGAGAATCAACTTTATTTTTTACCATGGACTTATGAATAATAATAATAATTTCCCCTCAAACCAGTTAATGATAATAATAATAAAAATAATAATAATATGCATTCTCGTGTTCACATGGATTAATCCAAATGTTTGCATACGCTGAACGAACAAATAATATCCGGGCGGATCTGCAAGCCAAATGGGCAGCCACAAAAACCATGACGCCGGTATTGATTTAGGCTATTAAAGGCCTGTGGAGAATCCATAAATACAAATACAAATACATTGGCAAATAGATACTGTGACGTTAACTTAGATGCAATAGAAGAATTATCCGATGATTATATTTCTCCAGTTCACCAAAGGTTGGTCAGAGAGATGCCAAATATGATGGGTATAAAGTTATGGTACAGTATAATTATGTTTAAGATAATAATAGTGTAGTATTCCAGTTTGTCAAATTCATAATGATGTGCTAATATCATTACGATTTTTTAAAATTTAAGTTCTATAGTATCCTTTACAGACAGGAGAACGAGCAGTTGCGGTTTCGTAACCCTGAGTTTCACGAAATTAATCGTTTATCAGACGAAAATTGGAACAATAGTATTCCATATAATCTATCCTATATAATATTATTTTGACAGTTTAAGAGATAGAACAGGTGTCGTGTTGTCTCTGGTTACTCAAAGGACATGACCGATGATAGTGTCAGCCGGAGCCTGGATGCAGCTGCTCTTGTTGAATCCTGACCACCTATTGTCCAGTGCCTTCGTGATCTCGGCAGCTATGTCCGCGATAGAAAACAATGGGGTAACATCTGCTCAGCCATTTAGTCTTGTACTGCTCTTCTTAAATTTGACCTCTATTACAAGACTCTCCCTTTCTTTTTCATTTCGTTTTCCCACTCTCACACACACCTGCTCACAGTCAATTCTGCCGTCGTGAGTTCCATTCGGGACGGATACGAGAATAATAATATTGCCCAGTGTTCAGTGTGATTATACACCCGGTTGTGGAGATTTGGGCTGCACTGGCGGAAATGCTAGACAGGGCCGCGCACTTGAAGGTAACTGAGGTTTAGACACGGTCTGATGCTGTCGAGTGCTGTTATCGACCTGCTGCCGAGCGGGAGGAGAAGTCTGCACAGCGCCACTGCGATTGGGGCTGCTTTTAGGGAAGTTACGATACGTATTTCTAACACCAGCGTCACTTGAATCTCCACTGCACTGATATACATTCTCTGCAACCGCATTGCCGCCACTTGCAACTTCACCATATTGATATACATTCTCTGTGGTCACATTTCTAGCAATGGTATCACGTGCACCTTCATCACACTGATATACATTCTCTGCAACCGCATTGCCGCCACTTGCAACTTCACCATATTGATATACATTCTCTGTGGTCACATTTCTAGCAATGGTATCACGTGCACCTTCATCACACTGATATACATTCTCTGCAACCGCATTGCTGCCACTTGCAACTTCACCATATTGATAATATACATTCTCTGTGGTCACATTTCTAGCAATGGTATCACTTGCACCTTCATCACACTTATATTCATTCTCTGCAATTGCTTTGCTGCCACTTGTAATTTCACCATAATATTGATATTCATTCTCTGCAATCGCATTTCTAGCAATGGGATCACTTGCACCTTCATAACACTTATATTCATTCTCTGTAATGGTGTTGCTGTCTCTTGCAACTTCACCACATTGATATACATTCTCTGCAACGTTGTTGCTGTAACTTGCAACTTCACCACATTGATATACATTCTCTGCAACGTTGTCGCTGTAACTTGCAACTTCACCACATTGATATATATTCTCTGTAATCCCGTGTCCATCAATGGTATTACTCGCACCTGCACCGCTGCTGTCGTTGACGCACGTGTCATACACATCACTGCCATCACCACTCTCATTGCCGTAGATGTCAGCGTCGATGACATTGCCATCCACATCACGGTCATCACCACTCTCATTGCCGTAGATGTCAGCGTCGATGACATTGCCATCCACATCACTGCCATCACCACTCTCATTGCCGTAGATGTCAGCGTCGATGACATTGCCATCCACATCACTGTCATCACCACTCTCATTGCCGTAGATGTCAGCGTCGTGCTTACTGTCACCGCTGAGGCTGCATGGAGTCTCCTCAGTGTCTCCAGTTACAAGTTTGGGTCGGCCAGTGGTTTGTTCGCTAGAATTGCAGCTAGTGAAAGTCGCTACACTGGCCGGGGAACGATTGTCATGGGAATCATCATGTATCGCCTCGGCTGATAGACTTTCACTAGTACTAGCACTCGTGTGGTCAGAACGAGCGCTTTTCTTTAAGGCTAGCCCGAGCACACGCTGGTACATGCTAGCTTTGTTGGCTTTGGGTGAGCCGCGGCATGCTGTGTTGCTCTTCGTTGCCGCCGTGGAGAAATTGATGACGTACTGGTTGCTGTTGGCCTTGTCCGGTGCACCAGAATCTCTCTTTGCCAATTCAAGGCTGTAAACTGTATTGGAGTACACGTTGCCCGCGTCATTCCCCAAAATGTGACGAGAGGCTGCAGGGAGAAGAAGAGCAACAGGCCAAAAATACCCGATGTTGGATGTTTTGTTACGACGTACTGTCCTGTCCATCTTTACCTCTACGGTGTTTGTACACATGCATTCTTTTGAGAGTTTTTTTCTCCTTTCGTTTGAAGATAGAATCAGCAGAATCAACGAAGCGGACATTGGACGTGGTAATCAACAAAAGATAATATGGGTAACGAAAATTTCCTAACAACTTGTCTAGAGACATTCATCAGGGAAATATGTCTCCATAATGAAATCTAGTAATAAACAACAATAATATACGTGGAAGAGTACGAAATGCATTTTATTATCCACATTTTATTGTGTTCATTACTACGTCCAATGTCCACTTCTCTGGTTCTGCTTTCTGCCATAATAAAGTTAGTGTCTCACCGCGTCTCTTATCTGTAAAGATAGAACCTTGCTCAGTTTTTTCTACTTTGTGTATTCTAAAATGCCACTTGGCTCTTGGCTACTTAACAATCTAACATGGTGCAGTGAACAGGGTAGAGCAGAAAAACGCAGCAGGTTTAGCCGGTCTTCTTTCCGAGCTGCAAAGTTCGCCACTAGCTAACAAAATTAATGTTGAATAGCTTGATGAAACAAAAGTGAAGTAGACTGAAAAACTGAATTTCACCTGGGTGACCACCAGAAATCAAATCAGTGATCTGGGCTAGAGGAGAGCCATGCTTTGACCATACTGCTATGTGCAGTCATCATCCGAGCAAACACCATACAAAGTTGTCTTGAGGCTTCAAAACCATCTAAAATGCGCAGGTGGTATGTCGGCGACCTAGACGTTTACAATGCTTTCCCACAGCATACAACACATGTCAGCATTAGCCTGTGGCGGGCTGAAGCTGATGTTTCTACAAGGTGAAGTACTGGCTCGCTGTTCGTACTGCAAACCTCTACGCATGCCTTGACCCCTGCCTCATTGACGAGTGACTTAAAAAAAATGCTGCAACGTTCAGGTTGAACATACCTTCTTTTGCAATGCTGCCATGGCTGTTTGTTTGTTTTTATTTTACTTCACCAGATACACAGGCATGCCTGCCTTCTCCTCTAACTATACGGCTAGACTCTCAATAAAAGATGAAGAAGATTAAAGCAAACATGTGACTGCATGTTTTGTTTTCTTTTTTTTGTTTTTTAATTTTACAAAGACCAGTTATATGCCAAACATGAAATGCAGCTAGGGGAAGTACGCACAACCTGAATCGTGGCAGTGGTGGTGAGGTTTAGGGAGCTCCGCCGACCTAGGGTCTGCATCTTCGCTCCAAATCTCCAGTGTGAACATGCTTTCGAAATCAGTTTCCAACGTTTCTGAATACCAGTCGCTTTGTGCTTGGACTGGGGAATTCCCCACGGCCGAAACAAACTGTGCTACAAACATGGGAGTCAATCGTACAGGCTCATTTTCACATACAGTAAAACCTGGTTTAAGCAACAACTCCACTGTGCAAGCAAAAGCCAGGTAGTCTTTAGAACCAGATCCCATACAGTCGTGGCGTATCGGATCGTGTAGATACATGTGTATGACGTGCTATGGGTTTGGCGTGTGTGTGTGTGTGTGTGTTTTGTGCTCCTTGGGAGCAGGTTACACTTTCTGAGCTCCGTGTTCTTGGCTTTCTCCCAAGTTTTCTGCCTGCCCAGGGCGACTCTGGCGTAGCCAGAGTCGACCCTGGAGCACCCTCGCACACTGCCAAGGTAGTGCTGCATGATTGGAGCGCGGAATCGCGATGTAGCCTGCAGGACAATTTACTTTGATATTGTCACTGCTGTGTCGGCCGTGGTCCACCACTCGCAGTGGAGTAGCTGTCCCTCGAGTGCTGTGAAGAATCCAAGCTCGAAGAATGCAGTGGTGGGAATTGCGGATTGGCTGGTGGAGTGCTGGAACAACTCGTTGTTTTCAGTGGAGTGGACGAGCGAGTGCGGAGAGGAAGGTCCCAATGGCGGAATGGTGGGAATTGAAACTTCAATCTTTCGTCGTCATGAGTGCACTGGTCAAGCGTTGTGGAAGTCTGTCGGATTTGTGAGGCCTTGCCCTGCCGCTTACATCGTCAACGTGGAAGAACTGCTAGTGGAGTCCTGGTGGGATTTCGGATGCCCACACTCCTTTTGCTTGGTGGATTCTTTCGTGGACAGTGTTTTTTCGTGACGTGAAATTTTGAATTTTTTTTTCCCTTCCTGTTCATTTTCAGTCGTTGGCACTGTAGCTGTCAGGTTGTTGTTACAGTACAGCAGTCGTCCGTTCTGCTCCATTGTTTCATCTGTTTTGCCAGTTCTGCTAGCTGATTCTATTTATTAGCCACTGCCCCTCATAGTGCTCATGCTTGGGTGGAGGGCGGCGTGACCCGTTTAGGGTAGCTGTATCATAGTAGTAGTAGTAGTGTGTGTGTGTGTGTGTGTGTGTCTGTGTATGTGTGTGTGGTGTGTGTGTGTTTGGCGCGCGCGCGCGCGTGTGTGTGTGTTTAGGTGCGATAATGCGGGAGTGTGGAGAGTGTGAGAACGAGAGGCTGTGTGTATGTGTGTGTGGTGCATGTGTGTGTTTGGTGCGTGTGTGTGTGTGTGTGTGCGTGCGCGTGTGTTTAGGTGTGATAATGCGGGAGTGTGGAGTGTGTGAGAACGAGAGGCTGTGTGTGGATGAGTGTGCGTGTTCATGTTTCACCCAGCACCTGAGATGTTGATTCTGGCACGTCAGAGCGTACTGCCTCTGGGAGGTGTTGAATGATTATCATATTGTCTGCACTGAATTATTCTATCTCCTCTGCTTGGCTTCATATACCTGCGTTTTCTAATCTCCTTATGTTGTCTGATGATTGGTTTTTGCCATGAAATTCTGAGTTACAACAAAAACAACCCTATATACTTCCTTTTGTGTACCTCTTGCGTACTATGCTCTGCCCATTCCGGGCATTTGAGCACTATTGCAGGTTAAGGCGCACACCCTCTGTGTATGATTGTACTTCCATGTACTCATATTGAGAGGCGCGGAGCATAGAATACTTTCGTGCAGGCTAAGAACACCTCATCCTGCACTGTCATTTGTCACTTCTGTTGACTGCATAAAAACTTGCTTCGGAGCCCACCTCAACCCTGTTGCAGTCAGCCCTGCAAGCCAAGTTGGCACTTTAGGCTAGTTTTGGTCGTTGTGTGCAGGTCCGATATGGCACTTGGTACACTAAAAGTCGGTCACTGGTGTGATTCACACTTTTAGATTTGCTCCATGATGCAGTCATTTACGCTTTGCACTGCCGCCATTCACAACTTTTAGATTTGCGCCATGCTGCAGCAATTTACACTTTGTTTTTGTATAAAAACCAATACTGATCCAGATTTCTCAGTACTGTTTTCTGATGATCGCTTAGTGCGTGAAACTCGGGGTAAAAACACTTTCTCTGTCCTCCTATTGTTTGAACCAGCTCTACCTCTCGGTTTTGAGCACTCTCTTGGACAGTCTGGAACCTCTCTGTTTTAATTGTTCATATTTTAAAAGTTGCAAGGCATGCTCGATAGTAAGTCGCACCCGCTTTATATTGGCCCTGACGTTTACGGTGAAGAAAGTGTAAGACGTCTATTCTGGAAAATATGGCACCTTCCAACCAACTGCACCTGTTGGCTGTACTCACACGACACACTTTACGAAGTTGGCACAACGTGAGTCATCGCAAGCGAGCAACATGCATACATGCCAGCCTGGAGGCTTGAGTTCCCTGGACGAGGAGGCTGAACTCCCTTGATTTTCAACACTTTTCCTCAACACAAATTTTTTTAGCGCACCCATCATTAGCAGATGTATTTTTCATGACTGCCGTTATAACGTTAAAGCAAAGGGCGCCTCATTGCATTGAGCTGTAACTGTACAAATAAATTATCTGTGGACTACCATTATACCGGTGATCCATTGCAGTTCCATAACGTATACTATGTGCTACTACGGGCTGTGTGTAATTACAACCGATCTACATGTACAAGATCGAGGAAACACTGAGAAAGCGTCATAAAAAGGAGAACTTCGATTTCAAAAGTTCCAACTCAATCCTGGACTTTTGCAGGACATCTCCGGCCCCCGTCACAAACTCCCTATTCCCTGAACTGTTCCGGCGAAACCCTGGACTAGGCATTTCCCAAATCGGTCGGCCGAAAAATTCGCCGAAACTGTGGTCTTGAGGAAATCACCGATCTTTTCGCCGAATATACAATTTCCCCACTGAATTTGCCGATAATCGATGTTTTGTTGCCTCTACAACATGCAAATACAATTTCTGTTGCTATAATACTGCAACAGGTGACTGCTACTTAAGTCATTTCCGAAATCGGCCAACAGGAAAAGACGTCGAAATCAATGGCTGTGAAGAAATCGCCGATAATTGCGCCGAATTTACAAATTCCGCACTGGATTCGCAGAAAATCGATGTTTTAATGCCTCTAAAGCATGCAGGTAAATGTACACTGCATTGCGAGCGGTGACTTCAACTACTGCTTTGAGTCGAATTCTGACTTTCGGGCTCATAATATGGCTGAATTTGGACATTCTCTTAGCCGATTGAAAAGCCGATTAGGCGAAAAATCTGGCCGATTTGGGAAATGCCTACCCTGGACGGTTGGCATGTATAAAAATACCATATGACTAACTGTGACTACACTAGATGAATGAAAGAACGTACACATCTGTGTGTCCAGGCAAAATATGTACTTCAATGTGTGCAGCCTGCGGAGGAAGGTTTCTGAGGTCCAGGAGTATGTGTCCTCCAGAGGTATACATCTTCTTGGAATCGCGGAAACTTGGTTGAAGCCGGATATCAGTGATGGTGAAGTAGCTATACCACATTTCAAATTGTTTCGCAAGGACAGGCCAGATCGTCCTGGTGGTGGAGTAGCTGTATACTGCCACGAGTCTCTGGCTGTTCGTCGCCGCTTCGATCTGGAAACTGAGCTGGAGCTACTATGGCTTGAGGTTATAGCTCCCAGCCATGACTCCCAT